ATCTCACATCCCACCTACAAGCTCCACCACAAACAGAGGCGAGGTAAAGCAAAATGGAGCAGTCCAGAACACCGAGCAAGCTCCTCTTGTCTGCAAGAAGAATTTTACTGTTGCCTTCGTATGGAAGGCCCTAGGCTAACAAAATCTCTTCTGAAAAGTGACTCACCTTAGGACACTAGTGTTGTAGCTGCACAGGCGTACTACCCACTTCAAGCACCCCAACAGACGTCATTTACTGGTGTCACAACTGTGAATTTAATGAAGCTGGGGAGAAGCAGGGCATCTTTTACAGCTTTGGAATGGAAGGCGGTCCTTCCAGACAGCTCAGATTCAAAGAGGTATTAATCATTTGGGACCACCTCTCACATCCCACCTACAAGCTCCACCACAAACAGAGAGGCAATAGAGCAAAATGGAGCAGTAGAGAAGACAGAGCAAGCTCCTGATGTCTGTGTGAAGACTATTTTGCTTGCCTTCCCATGGAAGGTCTTGACCTGACACAGTCCCATCTTACATGAAACGCCTAGAAAAGATTTAAACCTGCTGACCTGGACTGGCAAAGGTGAGCAGGAAGGCCACAGGGGATACGAGAGCCATCCATGAGAAGGACATCGCTGCCCTCTTCTTGCATCTACCACAGAATCCATGCTCGGCAGGGACTCCTTCCTTTCCTTTCCCGTCCTTTCCACTCCTTACCTCTGGCATTCACTGGGAATCCCAGCAACTCCACTTTTACTCACATCCAACACTGGGTCCTCAAGAGGTCCTTCTCTCCAGCTTTTTTCTGCCACTGCATTACCTATGGATGACAAGACACTTTCAGGGCAAACACTAACATCCGTTCTCTTTCTCCAAGGCCTTTTCCTTTCACCAAGTCTGCCTTCAAGCCTTTCTTGCTAAAGACCCCAACGTTGAGCTCTACATCTACCACCCTTCCCCACCCTTTTCTCCCCTTCACCCACCAGCCCACTTAGGATCTGCTGTGTCTTCGCCCAGCCATGCTCTGCACTGCACGCCAGCATCTGCTAACATGTGAACAAATTGCTGATGATATAGGGCTATATATGGCCCTTCCCTCAGCCCTCCTATCAAATCCTCCCTACGAGGATAGACATGGCCTGGAGGCAGCTAGACCTGTAATGGCGGGGTCAGCTGTGTGGGGTTAATGCAGGGGTGGTGAATGAGCCCATCCTTACCAATCTTTAGCTTTTCAGCATTCTTAATACCACATATTCTGATCGGCCTCTTGGATTGGCCTCATTTGCTCTTCTTTCTCAACCTTCTAGTTAGGAGATAGGTGAGCGAGGAGGCCGATGCCTCATAAACTCTCACCAGCTTGCGGCACTTCAGTTCAGGAGGAATTCTTACAAGAATATCCTTCTCTAGGGAGGGAACCTTACCTGCTCGGCATCCAGCACCTTCCGGAAATCCTCTTGGTTCCATTGCCCCAGGACCATCCTCCTTGGAAGACTATCTCTGGAGTGTGCAAATCAGCTCAACCAGAGAACCTCTATCTGTGCAATTGCACTCACCCAAATAGCTCTCAGAGTGACCAGGCTCACTCCTACCCTTTTCAGGCCCCTCCATTTGCATGGGTCACACCTGTTCATTGTGTAAGTCCCACCTCTTCATTGTGTATGATCTCGAAGGGAAGGGCTCTGGAGCGGATGCTCCTGCTGGAGCTCCTTGTCCAGAGGCAAAAAACTGTGGCAAAAGCCGCTGAACGAGAAAGTGTAGAGAGCGAGAGGCAACCCCAGCGCTGACCCCTATGCGGGCAGTGCTGAGCTCCTGGCCAGAGGCAGCTCTGACTCAGCGGGGGCAGAGCCAGCAGGGCAGGCGGGGTTTTCAAAAGCTGCCCCCAGGGTGCGTGAGCGACCAGGAGCTTGGTGAACACAGTGCAGCAAGTCAGAGAGGGTGTGGCGCGTCACAGCATGGCTTGGCAGACAGGGCGTGGCGCGGCACAGCAGTTGGTGCAGGCAGGGGGCAGGGAGTCTCCTGCCAGGGGTGGAAAAGAATTCTCTCCACAGACTCTTCCAGCAGCAGGAGATCAGGTA